GGAAAGTTTCACTGCTGAACAGTGAAGCAAGCCGGAAATCAGCTCCCAGCAAAGTATTTATTAAAAAAATTCACTTGGTGAACCCTGTTGAGTCCCGCAAATTGAGGCCATTTGGCAAGTTAACAGCACTGGCAACTGCTGCCCTTGCAAACCATAAAAAGAGAGCATTTCATTCCTATAATTTTTTACTGCAGCCAACATTTTGTTGTTGTTTAAGAACACCTACTTTGTGTTTTTACAAAAATTAGGAATAGAATGAATTTGCTCAGCACCAACTCCTTCCCCTTAAAAGTGACTGATCTAAGAAAAATAAGCAACTCCTTCTCATCACTTAAGTCTCTTAGTGATGCTTTATTATATACAACTCCAGGTTCTGACAGTTAATTCATTTGTAGACTCTGTGGAAGCAGCAATCTCAACCACAAAACAACATGACTACATTTTCATAAGTTGGTCTCTAATTCTTAAAGCTACCAAGGGATAGCTACTGTTTGTGTACAAGAACTAAGGTGAGAGGTGCGTGTAATGAGCTTCTGCTACTTACAGATAATCAGAACTACATAGAAAGAGAAAAATAAAGCAAAAATCCCAAACCGACACATTTTCTCCCCCAAAAAACCCCAAACCAACCACCAAACTACCCCTTTGTTGCACTCACTAGAGCTCATCCACATCCTTTTTATGCTGGGGAGCCCAGAACTAGATACAACACTCCAGTACTGCCTTATTAGTGCTGAGCAGAGGTGGTGAATCAGCTGCTGTGACCTTGTGGTGAAGCTCTGCCTAAGGTGTTCTGGATTGCATATGTATGGGTTCTGTGTCCCCAGCTCTGAACTGTTTCTACAAGCGTAGAAAAGACCTAGCCTAAGCTTGAGTGGTCCCGTGTGGAGCTATGAATTGGATGCAGCAATAGTCATGCATCCCTTCCAACTCTGAAGATTCCATGATTCTTGAAGGAGCATCATCTAAGAAAAGCTAACAACTTGATGGTCACATCACCAAACTACATCAGAAAGGCACATTAAATCCCAGGGAAGGGCAAGGAGCAAGAGAGAACCATGTGAAGTTTACTTAGAGAATGTGATGGCCATCAATTTGGCATGGGGCTTTGCATGTGCTTGAAAAGAAATTCCACGTAGGATTGCAAAGGCTTTTCCAGACAGAAGTCTGGGTCAGATTCAAAGTACCTTCCTGAAGAAAATCCAGATGTTCCTATTTCACTGAAAAATGCACACATTGCTTCACTCAGCCTTCGAGCTTCAATCACTTCTTTTTTTTCCACTTAATTCAGCTTGAGTCATGCAGCAAAACCATCTCCAACTGAGAATACAGTTTATTTACTGGAGCTTCATTGCCCTTTGCGATTCTGACAACTAATCAACAACCAACTGGTTCTGTTTTGCACAGTTTCCAGTGCTATAGTAGGAGGAGGTTAAAATTTAATGCACTGGCAAAGTCAAATCTCAATTATCCAGGGTAACGGAGTGGAGAGAGCTCACAAAGTAAGAAATGCAGATAAAACACATTCAGATAAGCTGTATGAACAAAAAGTGAGGATAAAAGAAAAAAGAAAGAAAAGTCATCCTAGATGAAAAGTGATCCCAAACACTCCTCTCCCATTTTCTGGATTATGCCAACCAGATATACTCCAGGAAACCTGGAGTAGCCAATGGTATCCAGTACTCCAAGGGCTGCCCTATAGAAATAGCACAGAGACAGATCCCACAAGTCCTCTCAAAACATCTCTTGAATGCTTGTGCAACGGTATTACTGCTTATGAATGCTCCTTAAACTCCTCATGCTAGTCCCCAGGACACAATACATACCTGTGGCACCATGCTTCATACTTCAGCACACTGTATCATTCCCTTCCTTTTATTTTAGGGATTTTGAACCTGGTAAGGGGAGATGTAGTGACGATTAAACCTTAGGCCCTCAAGAGTCCACTGGAGGGCTGGGCCAAGTACTATGCAGCACAGATACTAGCAGCCTGCCCCAGATGCTGGCCCTTAGCACCATGAACAAGGATCAGTTTTTACCTATGGTGTGCCCAGGGAATGCCAGGACAAAGATGAGGTCCCAGGCACTAACTGGGACAAGCAGCAGTAGTTTTCTGCGACTGGCACCTCTGTCCCCAGTTAGCAATAAGGAGCTGCCCTTACAGCTGCTTCCTGCCCTTAATGAGTTATTACAGTGCACTGAAATGCCACTAGGGAGCAATGGGAATGTGAAATCATGGACATCATTCTCTGTAAGTATCGAGTCCACAAAAGCAGATTTTTATCTGGCACTTTCAGAAGTTCTGATTCACATTCTCAGTCCTTAAAATATTCCACAGGCACCAGGGATAACCTTTTTGCTTTACTCCATCACCCTGAAAATAGGTGCTGAGATCCCCATCTTTTCTGTGTGGATGCAGCACTCCTCTCTTCTGGAGCTATAACACTGTGAAGCACTGTTCAGTACCATTAAAGCATCATTCAGCTCAGTCCAAAGTTATCTGCATTGCAGCAAATTGATGGTTCTTCTATAAATACTAAATAATTTGGACTGGAAAGCACAGAAAAGACAGATCCCATTTTAATTTGAATGTAAGATATATATCAGTGACCTTTGCCTAAAGGTCTGTCACTCCAGCTGAAAGCTTTATAGAGCTTTCTGACAAAGGTCAGAATACTCAACATTCTGTTTTAAATTCTAATAGGAGATGAGATACATTTCTTAGTATAAATATTTATATATAAACATGCTTTATATATGCATGTATACACACACCCCTAGTCCTAAAATATCTCAGCATATGTGTAAGTGTAACAAATACTGTCACAGAGTCACAAGTGAATGGAATAACATACTGTGAGTCTGCAGTGACCCGAGATGTGGATCTGAATAGAAAAAGAAAATTACTTGATATAAAGGGGGGCTTGCAATTTTAGTGGTGCTCCTTCTGCACTGAAATAAGCAAGTTAAGACTAATTGGCAATATAAGCTCCAAGAGGTCTCGAGATTGAGAAGATGGTAAACAAAAAGTAATCTATCAAATGTAGCACATTATCTGTAGAAAACCAGAAAAATAGGATGGTTTGTACTGTTCTATTACACTAATAATTATTTCACAGAAAAGAGATTCAAAATATTCATTGGCTACTTTTCCCTGCAACCAACAAAGAGCAGGCTTGTTGCACTCAGTTTGTGCGCATGCTTTATACTCTGCACAAAGGTGCTTCTACATTTACAAAGAGCACATCTGCCACAACAGAAGCCGTGCACGACCCACATACTGACAACAGCAATGCTGTCTTATGAGTTGTGGGAAGTCCAGAGGTGGTTTCAGTTAATACCAACCCGTCTTGCACACAGGTAACCTCTCACAGCACTGTAACCATGCAGTGCAAGAATGCATCAGGTTGGTTCTTCAAGGCAGCCTTTCAGTCTTCCATCATGCAAACCTTGCTTTTACAGCCCATTCACACAGACAGGGACAGGCTGACCTTTGCTCAGCACCACCTGCAAACAGTGAGAGCTGCCTTGTCCTTTCAACCCTGGGAGCTCCATACTTACTGCACACTTTGCTTTAAACACACACTTGAAGACGACAAAACTTAAGTGCCTCGAAGTGATGCAGCTAAAAAACCAAAAACTTTCCATAGGAAGCTGAGAGAGAGCAATCCCTAAAACTCGTTATTTCACATGCAAAGCAATCGATTATCAAGTTGCAACTTACTCTAAACTGGTTGAGATCCATGAATCAGGAGCACAAGGACAATTTTCAGCCAATAACTGGAAAAAACTGGAGTTGAAATGGGAGGGATTAACTCCCTTTCTCTTTTCTTTTACAACCTTCCAGAAACCTTCATTCTGAATTGTACCCCTCCTATCTCTCCACAAGCACATTCAGCAGGGCTCCTGAGGAGCCCCAAACCACTCATGTCTAATTCTTTAAAAGAAAAGCAAAATAAGGAGCTGATTGATTAAGCATCAAGGAACTGTTTTTGTGTCTTTTTTTCCCCCCTTTCATTCTGAAAAACACCTTCAGTTTTATGTAAGTTTTATGACAACTGCTTATCTCAAAGGTTATCTGTGACCAGCAGGGCTACCCAACTGATAGGAAAGAATTTCTTGCATACTGAGAGGCTGAGTCACTGTGATATAAAAGCAAATTAATACTACTTAATACTGAGTGCCAGAACTATCTTCTCCCTTTGGAGAACTTTACCAAAATTAAGCACCTGTACTGAGTCCACCTGCCTCTGAAACAACAGAGGAAACTAGAAGAGGTGATTCTGCTAGCTGCAGTAATACATCAAGAACCACGGGCATATCTAGAGATAAGCAGATACCTGGAAATGGCATGTACCTCCAGAAGCCATCTAATATGAAGGGAAGGGGTAAAAGTGTGTCATTTTCTTATTTTCTTCTCTTTCACCTAACTTATAAAGAGCTAGATTCAAAACTTCATTAGAAATATTCTTAAAAGCTTTAAAAAGAAAGCATGTGTGTGATGCATGCAAAACAATCCTGAAAGATGAAACTATGCCAATATTCTGAGTTGAAATTTAGATGTAGAATTATTATGGACAAAATTTATTCCATCAAAATTTGCTTTCTTCCTCTGGAGGGTGATTCATCCTACACTACTGTACCAATTTCACTTCTGAAGTGCTGCACTAATGGTCCAGGCTCTCTGTGCCCATTGTCCGACTATAAAAGATCACATTTTGTTATGTGGACCATAAAATGCTGCAGAGGAAAATAAATTTGTTTCTTTTTTGTTCCCCTGCCTGCTTTGGTGCCTGCATTAACACAGTAACTCTTTAAATAAATGCTGCATACTGTTTTGTTTCCAATTTATAAAAACACATAAGATAGTGCCCCAAGCAGTTATATTCAGAATCAGTTCTTTACTCTTACAAAGCCTGAGGACAGGAGGGGAATTAATTTGCCATTTCATAAGCTGTAGGGCTTATAAAATTCAACCACATGCAAAAGTGTGTACTCACACGGTGCGTAGAACATGACAAGGGTGTGCTTCTTCTTCTTCAAGGACTCCCTGAAGTCTTCTCCAGCAAGATGGATAACATTGCTCTGTTTTTCTTCCCATGCAGGCTCAGGGGGAGGTGGTGCTTCAGGACTAGAAAAGAAAAGAAGTGAAATCAGTTTGAAAACGTTTCTGGAAACACGTGAACAGGCATCACATCCTGGTCACAGCTACCCTGAGGGAACCAAGGCAAAACAATCCATTAGGGTGTCTGTGCATTAGGAAAACACGCTCAGTATTTCCAACATCAAGTAACAACAAGAAGATGCTTTATTATTTTCTGTAACTCGATAAAAATAAAATTTAAGTGATCTTACTGAAGCATATGAATAGGTATGCAGAACAAAGATCTTCTATATTATATCCAACATCTGGCTGGAAAGAACATTGCTTCTAATATCACTGTGGGCATGAATTGAGAACAGCAAGCAGATGGAATCAAAAGGCAACCAATATAGGACAGCATCTTCCATTCAAACTTCCTTTTTGTTCTCTTTATTGCCATCACGCAAACTTCTATATAGAATTTCATGACCCTCTCTTGAATTCAGATATTAAAGCCAGGATGCAATAATCAGTATCATTCCACTTGGAAGGCTGGGGGTGACTGAACTGGAATATTTTACCTTGATAAAGAGAATGTCATGTTTCAATTATGACTGCACATACTGACTAGATCAGAGCAATCCTGCATATCTAGAGCACCTCTAACAAAACTTCTGCTATTCACCAGCTCACAGACTTCTCTCAGACTCATTAAATTCATTCCTGCTGTATTCTTAAATAGTGATTACTTATATAAAATCATCAGAATGGAGCCACAGTATGAAGACCTTCATATGTCGCCTTGGTAATAAATTAGCTTTTTAGACTTTCCTGTCACTTTGAATGACACATTAAGTTGTATCAGGTGCATAAAAACTAAGTGGAGAAAAATCTCAATTTTTAAAGTTCTTCTCAAGGTCACTTGGTGGACATCCATTGTATTTCCATCGGTATCGATTTGCCAGCTGCTACCAACAGAATTAGGCCAGATGATCTGAGTTTTCACATGGACACTCATGTGAGCTATGTGAGCTATCATCGATTACAGTTACAGCTAGAGGTGCGAGTTTATCTCACACAGACCTCCCCACGCTGACCAGAAATAAGCTATGCAAATACTGCTAACAACAGTGTGACAGCACAGACTATAGCCCAACAAAGACTGTGAAATGGAGCTGAAACCCATGCTGTCCCAGCCAGACCACTAAACAGGACAGGTATCCACAAGCTGTAATTTTATCTCTAGCCTGTACCTCACAGGCATCCCTATTTCTACCAACTTCAGAGGAGCTATAACAATTTGATCCCACGTCAGCAGATAAGGATGCTATTCTACTGCACCTCTCATTGGGAAAGTGTCTAACCGTTAGACTAGGAGGCTGTATTGCCCCTGTGTTAACTGGTAGATAAAAGTATTCCAGCAGCACAGCTGGATCTGGGTGGAATGAACACCCTCTTCCTCAGAGCTTATTCACCTGCCGATATGAACAGGCAGCATCAACCTGAGTACTTAATACAACAAAAAACCACATCATGTTCAAAATCCTCCAACAAACTGGTGAAACTAGACCAGTGATTTAACACCCACTATTGACAGAGCAGCCTGTGTAAGCAAGGAAGCCAGGAGTACTGTCTGTGAGCGTACAGTGCAGATAAAACTGCTCAACATGCAACAAAGATGCTGCCAGGCTAAACCTGTTACCTGATCTAAAGCACTCAGATACAAACACCCTCCCCTGATCAAATATGAGTCGGAAAAATTAAAATTACACTCCTCACACCATCTGCACTTAATGATTAAACGATTTCAAAGCTTCACAAGACACAGATGTTTTCCACTGAATGTGGAAATACTTTACACTGCAGTGCTTAAATAAACACATTTTATTCTAAAGTATTTTGAGATTGTATGAATAACTTTCTTCTTTGAAATGAAATTATTTTCAAAATACATCAACTCATGCATATTTTAGCACATCACTCGAAGAAAGCAGGGAGGTGTAGACAGGTGGGTGCTGCTTCTGTTGGTCTGGCTTTCCTTCAGCCCCATGCAGCGCGCAGTGCAGGCATTGGCTCTGAAAAGCTGGAAGGAGAAAAGTGCAACTACAGAGCTTCAGTTACTTAGTGAAGTCTGCTGCTCGGTATAAAGAGGGAACAACAAACATTCTGTTTATTTTCAGAGCCATTGCTATTCCTTCTCTGGAGAGAGGCTTAGTGTACATTTGAAAAATATTTACTTGGGGAAAGAATTACCAGGACAACTATGAATAACCCAGCAGCAAATAAAGGATTTGGTGTATTAGAGATCACAATTAACATACATGTTTGTATGGCTTTGAATACTGGAATTCAATTTGCTTCTGTTAGCAAGGGATTTAGGCAGCTGATGAAGCCAGATTTAAGATTTGCTCTCAGAAAAGCAGACTTTAGGAGGCAGTAGGCAGAACTTACTTTTGCAGCCAATCAATGATCTTCTTTTTCGTTCTGAGGTGTGGCAGAGTGTATTTCTCTTCTCCATCCTTAAAGTACTTCACAGTAGGAAACCCTGAGATATGGTACCTTTCTGCCAGTGCTTTGTTGACGGTAGCATCTACTGCTGCAAGGACACCTGGGCTCTACAACAGAAACAAACAGTTATAAATCAAAGGAAAGCACACACATACCTTTGGCAAGAAGCAACGGATTTGGGCACAATTAATTACTGATTCTAGATGCCATGCCTTCTCAGCTTCTCAGTGTAGATATACAGAAAAGCACAGGCCTGATGCAAAGCCAGGAAGAGACATCTTATGGACTAAACGTAACCAGCGTATTATTACTCATTCTCTTTTCCCCTTCTGACAAGATTTCCTATAGACAATTCTTTCTGTAGTGCTTAAGAGCTGCTCCAAGGAAGGGCATTTCCTCCCACAAGTCTATTTCTCCCAGAAAAAATAAATTGTTGAAGACACATTTGAAGGCAAATTGATCTCTTCCTGACTTGTGGGTAACTTTACATGGATGACCTTGACAATCATGGGAGAACAGAGATTTGTTGGATGTGACTGATCTGCTCTTCGTTCTGCACTGTCCTCCAACAGTGACTCCAGTTGTCTACAATGGAGATGTCTGAAGTTTGAGGAGATGAATCCTATTTCTGCATGGTGTACACAGAGCAAGGTTGGATCAATACCACTAATACTTACACTATCAAGACTCTCCTCTCCAGCTATGCTGATGGAGCACTTAAGATGACGCTAATGGAGTGATGCAACCATAAAAGCAGGATGTATGAAAGAGGCATCAACCCCCTTTGTTTTTTTTTTTTCCAAATCTAATTCATAAATAAAAGTCTGTTTCTTCACATTCAATGTCTTTAAATAAAGCAAAAAAAATCCTTTTTGGATTTGATCATATTATGTACAAGCCCTGCAGCAGAATACATAAACGTTTTTCGATTTTGTTTTCGTTCAAGACAGAATGTTCTTTCTAAGACTTTGGCAGGCCTCGTGCATTAGCGATGAGACTGTACTTTGGAAGCACATTTTGAAGGGTCCTGTGGGAGGATGAGAACAGCTGAATTTGTTGCAGGGAGAAAAGTCACTTTTATTAGTCCAGTTATTTATTACTGATTATTTGAAGGATATAATAAAGGAAATTAGCTTACATCACTGCCTGCATGGAGAAACTCTGCAGCCTTCTCATATTCTGGCTTCATTTTCTTACAGTGCCCACACCCTGCCAAAAAAAAAAAAAAAATCCAGTTAACTTGTACACGCCATGGTTATTAGCTGACCCATCCAGCCATTACCACAATCCAAGACCATATGGTAGGGCAGTAGAGATCTACTAGATTTCAGTATGCATTTTGCTTTATTAGTAAATGCTTATTATGATTTAGGATGTTTACAAAGCAGTCACAACAATTTGAACAAAGAATTTAACCTTCTTAAAAACAATTTAAGAAACTCCACAGATTCACAGCCAGACCACTTCCCTCCCTGAAGCTCTATTCATAGTACTGCTCAAACCCATCACTTCTAGCACACTCTTGGGCACAGATGAGCTCACCCATTTTAGTTTCCAAATCTTTATCTGCATTTAAAAGAAACAATACAGGCTCTCACATGACTTCCTGACTTTAAGCAGAGGCTTATGCTAGCACAGCTTAATAGAGTTGTGTAATTTGAACTAAACTGCACTGATAATAAGCCACACTTTACACTGGTGTGGTGTGTCCCTCTAGCAAGGATTTGCACTGATTTAATCACGTCAGCATAATTACACCACCACATATGTTCTCAACATAAGTAGGGCCTATAAAACCAAGATAATGGTGCTTCCTTGCTCGTGCAAGCTCTCCAGAGAGATCTGCCGTTACTTCACTGCTTAGAGCTGACATAATAATAAAGTAAAAAGAATGAACGAATGAGAAAAACAGACTTAAAATAAACTATCTTGGTGCAAATTAAAATGCTTTCACCTGGTACAGCTGCTTCCAGGCAAACTGAGCTCTTTAGGACCAGGTGATAGTCCTGTGGTGACACACGGATGCTGAGACTTGAAGGGGGAGCAGCAGGATCGATGCACAGTCTTGGTGCACCAACTGCAGATGCAGAGCTACCATCAGGTGCACTGCACAACCCTTCAGTCACACTGTTGCCTGCCCTGGCACAATGCAACTCCTGCAAGACCTCACCATGCTGCAGCACAGCCTGCTTCTCTTTCTTCAGCTGTTATTGTTGGAACAGGCACTTGAAAGTTAAGACTTTGCTGAGCCTCCGAAAGTTGTAACAGCAAATACAGCTAGAAATCTGTTTCAGGATGGCTTCAGCAACAACAGCTCCTGAGGCATGCAGGCAAAAAAGGCTAGGGTTATTTTTACACCATTGTCTAAAAGAGAATCAAGCCAGGATTGAATCTTCATGTCACCCTGATTCCCACTAATGGGATGCCTGACAACAACCAGACACAAACCTGACAAAGATTTGAAGGTGAATTTGGGAAGAGGCTGAAAAAGGCTGAGGAAGAGTTACTGCCTCAGCACTGCTCGTCTTGGGTAAGAGCACAAAAGAGGCTGGCAAAATGATTTATTTGCCACCCACAGACAACTTGCAGGCATATGGCTTTCTGGAATGGGCTGACAGCTCCCTTTGACACCTGCCTGAATTGATTTATTTCTCCCTTTGAGAGCAGGGAACTTTATCCATTTAGTGCTCTTCCTCACTTTAAGTAAGGGGCACCTCGAATCACAGCTCACGTACCTGGGAACTTCACTGAATTAGCTCAAACTATTTGTTTGGGGAAAAAAAGAAAAGATTTTTCTGCAGAGGTAAGTTCACCTTGGCAGGTGTTACACTGTGTTAGCTAAAGCTTGACCAAACAGTGCTCTGGATACTGGATCCACAAATCACCTATGTTATATTCCATAGTTATAAATACTAGATATGACCAACTAAAAGTATCAAACAATGTTAATTTTCACATACCTATGCAGATAAAAAAGGAACCAGGCATATATGTAAAAAAAAAAAAAAAAACAATCCAAAGCACATAAAATTTGTGTAAATAAGGTTTTGGATAAATATATTCATACTATGAAGTTTCAATATTCTGGGTTCTTTCACAAACATCACACAGATACAGCACTACAGACTTAGAATCACGGAACTGTTTAAGGGACCTTCAAAGGCCATTTAGTTCAACGCCCTTGCCATGAACAGAGACACTTACAGCTGCATCAGGGCACTTAGAGCTAGCTAACTCACACTTAACATAAAGGGAAGGCAGGTTCAGGTCTTTAAAGGCATTTAAATGCAAGCTGAAGTCCTCAAATCTTTATCATGCAACGCCTGTCCTAGCCCTGGCAGAGGACAGTGCAATGTGCCAGTCTGGGAAAAAAAAAACACCTGAAGATGGGACAAGAAATCTCGAGAGCTTCTCCCACAATAAATGAGCTTTATCTGGCCATCTTTATAAGAATTTTGCTATTGCATGCCACAGCCTGTTCCCATCTATCGGGGCAGAGGGTGGAGAGACAAGTCAGAAGTCAGATCCACACACTGCAAACCCATTCATCCCTCCTACAATTATTTATCCTATCTTTCAATAGTCCTGCAAGGATTGCCATTAAATTCAAGGCCAATGAAAAAGTCATTTAAATGAATACCAAGGTCACCAGCTCTCCTGTGACTGCCGTGTTAGGTTCTTCAGCAGCAGCTGTATCACCCTGCACTAAGCTCCTCCAGTTCTAGACACTTTCTGTTAATAAAACAAATGGGAAAACAATAACAATCCCACAGGCTCTCAGCCCAGATGTTCCAATGTGCTGCATAAAGCCTCATTCTGCTCCCGCAGAAGAAAAGGACAGGTTCCCTCCATCCTGTGAGTGCTTGGTTCTGCAGGTGGGCTGTAGGGCTTGGGCACCTCAGATGTCTTCCAAGTACATCATGTGGCTCAATGTCCACAGAGATTCAGGGTCCAAGGTGCTCAAATGGCAAAGAACATGCAGTGTAAGTCTAAAGGAAGAGTGTTACAAGACAAGGAGGTAAAGCTTAGAAAAATCAGTGCTAGGACTTCTGGTACAAGATAGGCTCTTGTTAACTGGCTAAGAGAGATGCTTAAACGAAGCGAGAATTCTGTTTTCCCAGTTTATTTATAATCCATCTTCATGTTTGTCACACAGTTTGGCAGATAAACAGCTCCTTCCTTCAGTGCAGCTGTCACAGCTCACCTGCACCCCTATAACAAAGGCCATTGTGGGTTCCTCCATTCAAACAGGGCACCTCCCTCCAGAACTCCGCTACAGGACAGCACTCAGCCAGCACTCTGTCCCTTCCAGACCATGATCATACTCCTGCAAAGAGGGATGGCCAACATGGACAGAGCGATGCTGACGTGTGACACACTGATGATGGGAAATGCACCAAACAATTTCTTTCCCAAGTATCTGTATTCACTTATGGCAGCCTGTTTGGCATTGCTGCAGACACCACTCAGAGTACATTTGCTGCAAACTCTTACAGAAGGAAATAACAAACGCTCTCATTGCTATCACTCAGTTTTGCCTGTAGAGGACAGGCAGAAAAGCAGCCAAGCATCCTCAGCTAAGCTCCCGCATGTGCTATCTTAGTGCTGGCTCCAGAACATAAAACTGTTTCTCTGTCATTTATTGTTTCCTTCTTTCAGGTTATTACAGTTATACAATTAAGCACTAGATTTTGGTAAAGTCCTTGCATTTTAACACAACACTTACTGAGGATCAGAAGCGTATGTGACAAGCAAGAGATAAAGGCCAACATCCAGGCGACTGGGGATAAGGAATTTCTGGCATGGAGAACCCTAGAGACTAATTAAATTGCAAATAAAGATTTTAAAGAATCATTAAATTTCTGCTATCGGTGGACTGCCTGGGTGCTGTTATCATGTCCCAGCTATTATCACACCATGCCATCTCCACATACATTTATAGCTGCATACCAAAATATTTCCATCAACCTGATGAGAAAACAAATTTGGAGCACAAAATATGCCCTGCTCTCAGTAACTGAGTCAACAGCAGTTCAGGCTACATTCACAGATTTGCCAACAATTTCAAAAAAAAGAATCTAAAAAAATCCAATTACACCTTTACTTTTCTAAGCATTTAACACAAGGAAGCCTTGTGGTTTCTCTATTCTTAATTCCAGAGGAACAGACCCCTCTCAATGCCACAGAATAGCCAGCCCTGCCTTACATGTGCCCTGCTTTATGTTTGAACCCATATATTAGAATCATTAAGGCTGGAAAAGACCAGTAGGATCATCCATAGTCCAACCACCAGCCCATCACCACCATGTCCACTACACACCCCCCCCTTGTGCATATTAAAGTGGGAGCATGTACATAGTGGGGAGGTACTAATAATCCTGGGGAACATAGCAAGGAATACAGAAGCCCCAGCCCCCTCATGACCTATGTGAGAACACAAACGGATTCTCTTCTGCCACAAGCGTCTTTACCAGGCAAAGATTTCTTAAGCAGAATATAACAGAGTTACTCTCTGGTTTGACGTGAGACAGCTTGTAGCTCTTCTACCACTGTCAGAGAGCACAAGAACAACAGCTGCAGATTCCCTTGCATAATTTAGCTGTCTGCATTGCAGACATCTGGTGGGAAATCATCCACAAATTTGGCAGGGAGGGTTCAAACAATGATGGAAGCTTTTTCTTCCCTATAATCACAGGTATGTGTTTCAAGATGGGTTGGATCCATGTTCACTTAATAGTTGCAACAGTCCACAAAGCCTGGCTGCTTTTGACCCAGGCTATGAGAACATGGAGGAACTAGGAAGATGGAATCATACGGAAGTACTTCAGTGTTTTGGGGCAGTGCTGTGTCCCACGTGCAGAGCTGCTGGCACTAAGGCAAACATCAGCCCTGCCTGAATCACCACCAAGGGATTCTTATGGACACAGTGAGACTCCTAGGAGGGCATGGGAACTACCTGACCCTGCCTGTGCAAAAGGATGCACACAGAGCCAGCCAAGCCTCTACTACTCTGTATTCGATCACCTTGGCTATAGAGGTGAAAGCATTTGAGATCCAATTCTTGATCATCTTTTATCCATGCTGGCAGAATTATTTTTCTCAGCCTCACTGAAACAGCTCAGCAGATTTGCTCTAGAGAGTTAAAGTGCAAGACAGTAGGGTTTTTTCTCCAAAAAGACAATCAGATCACTGCATTACACAAGGCAAAT